TTTCAGATTTAACATGATTGATATCCGAGATTGGCAACAAATATTCGCCTTCTTCATTAACCCATTTTCTTTTAACTAGGTTCTTGAAAAATAACACCCCCGCCAATCTAATACTGGGAGACAAATTAGTTGAAGCAATAATGTGTAACAAATTCACCGAAAACCCTGGTTGATTTTCAATAGATTTCAATTGTGCTTCTGCTTCCTTTGCATGCTGTGGTAGAAGTGATTGATCTAAATATTGTGGAATTGACTCTAAACTATTTTCAGCCATTATACTCCGATCTATAATTAAAGCTTATGTATGGAATAGTTTGATTCCTTAGTTGTTTAAAAATTTCGAGATGATTTTAGTTATAGAAAAACACGATTTTGTGTAATTTTTCATATTCTTAGAAGGTTCTGAAGATAATGCTTCAATTATATGGAAAAGTACAGCAAAGAACGCTCATTTTTAAGGATTTGTCATTATAATAGATTTTATAGTAAGAGAGATATCACAGTATATGGTGATGGGTTTTAGGAAACCTGAAAGTTTTTAAAAAAATTTCTATCGGATCATATTTGCTCGAAGTTGCAAAATTACATCAAACTATTTTCGTTTGTACGATACTTGTAATATGCTTGTGTATATTTAGAGCCATGCCACCTTCTATTTATTATATAGAAATTAAGGTCAGGTTAAAATCATTCAGCAATCAGCAGTTCCCTACATTGAGATATATATAAAACATCTATTAATAATAATAAAATTGAAACAGGAGAAAAAAAAAAGAACAGGATTAGTCCAATTGTACTGATGACATATAAAGGATATAAGAAAAGAATATTTGTATAGTTCTAAAGTGACTACGCAGATGAAATCAATTTCAATGCGTTTAAGCCCTTCAACAGTTGTTTTGCATGAAGATTATCCTTCATAATTCAGCGATTATTTGGATGGTAACTGTTGAGCGTTATCTTTTTGTTGCTTTTGCTTGGCGACAGCGTAGACTAAACCAGCAACGAAACCTACAAAAATGGAGGAAACAGACCAGAAGTTAACGGCAGCATCAAAAAAGACTAAACCAGATAAAGCGATTGGCAACTTGTTCAAGGCACCAACCATGGAATAAGTGGTGGAAGAGGTGACTCTAACACACCATGCGGAACAGTACGAAATACCAACAGAGGACGCACCACTGAAAATGATGGCCATGATGGTTGGGGTTCTGTTGTCGACAGGGAAGTTCAAGTTGATGTTGGTAACAGACCAGTCTTCAAAGACAATGGACATGAATAACAAGATTGGAATCGACAACAAGTTGTTGTAGTACATGGTGTCGAAATCCTTGAAGTTTGTTAACTTAATTCTCTTTCTCATGATCAAAACGAATGCGGCCGAAGCGAAACAGTTGGTGAACATCCAGAAGTAACCAGCGTACAAAGAAATCGTGTCGGTTGGCGACTTAGCGTCCGAGGTGTCCCCGTAACATGCAATAACACTTGACAAGACCATCAAAATGAACGAGCCCAAGGCCATGGTGGTGACCTTACCACCGAACCACAAAACTTCACCGTAAGCAATCAAAATAATCGTCAAGTTCTTGAAAATTGTGTAAACAGGAATACTCAAGAACTGTAACGCCTTGGATGAGGTATAAATCATAGCAACCAATAACACAGCAATAGGGGACCATTTCTTAGCTTCGTCCTTGTTGAACTGTCTGTACGTGATAACACCTAACGCCTTCAAAGTACCGATAGTAGCAATACAGATGATCGACTGACATGCCAACATGAAAAAATTCAAGTTAAAATCGTACCCTGATAACACATATTTGTTGGTGACTGTCATCAAAATCGATGAAGCACAGTACGAGAAAATAGAGACTGGCGCCGAGTTAGCAACCGAGCTTAGGCTTGAATATGATGACTTTTCCATTATTCTTCTTGTTTGAAACCTGACTTTACCTTTAAACAAATATATAAGCTGTCCTAATAAATAAATCAGTATAATTCCCATAAAGCCAAAGGGTACCTGAGAACAACACACCGAAAAAAAAAA